CCCCTACTTTGATGTGCAATTATGATTTTGCCCTCGTTTTTCTAACTTTGTGATTTTGCCCTTAACTGTTCACAAGTCAACGCGATTTTGCCCCTGGTCAACGGTAAAAACAGGGGCAAATTCGCGTTGACCAGGAGCAAAATCGCATTGACTTGTGAACAGTTAAGGCAAAATCATGAAGTTAGAAAAACGAGGGCAAAATCATAATTGCACATCTGTGTAAGGGGCAAGAACACCATTTTCTCTTAATAAAATGATAGAATCACAAATTGCTCAGCTGGCGGCTGCTGTTCCTCTATCCGACAAAGGTAAGATTCTAGGGAAACCAAAAGATCTAGAAACAGCAAATCTTGTCGATATTCACAATGCAGCTTACTACTACACGGAGCCATCGACAGGAAGGTGCATAGATTATTCCCTACCCGACAAGAAAGGTGATCCTAGGAGACCTATCATCCCCATCGCCATTGGACCTCACATCTTCCAGGAAGCTGTCTGTGAATCAGAACAAGTGTCAACATCATGCATAAGGTAATTTATGAGAAAATCCTAGGAGATCCTTTGTTGTACACAAATATGCATTTGCATCTTGCAAATCAGTCACTCTACTACCCTAAGGGAGTTCTTTAAGATGCCATTTTTCGAGTGGGACAATCATATGTCCCCGTAGACTTTGTGGTTTTAGAAACAGGTGGAGATGAAAGGACACCCATCATCTTAGGCCGACCTTTCCTAAGCATCACAAAGGCCATCATCTACGTGGACAGTGCCAAGATCTATTTTACAATCAAGGATAAAAAGGAAAAGTTTTCTTTCAAGAATCGTATCCTGCAATCTCCTGGATATCCACAGACGTCGTACCTATCCGAAGAGACAACAGTGACTAAGAAGAAGAACAATAGAAGAAGAAGGTAGAACAAGGTCAGGCAGCCACAAGAAGAATCAGTCAACATGATCAACACACTCAGATCAGAGTACGACCACCTCCTCGCTTCACCATTCCTTGCCAAGAAGGATGATCCTGGTGTACCGACGATCGAGTATACCATTAGACAAAGAATCTTCCATAAGACTTTCAGCGACATTGGATCGGGTGTCAACATAATATCCAAGGTAATATATGAATATTTATTTGGTAATGAATCCTTGTACCCTACATATATGCAGTTGCAGATGGTGGACCAATTAATCCGATTCCCAGAAGGAATAGCAAAGGACGTTATGGTAAGAATACACGACCACTTTGCCCCTGCCGACTTCATGGTTTTGGACATGGGAGAAGAAGAAGACGATACACCCATCATCTTGGGAAGACCGTTCCTCAACACCACCAATGCGATCATCTATGTCGGATCTGGACAAGTCCACTTCTAATTTCCTAGAGAAAAGGTATGTTGTTATTTCAATAGTTATACTACTTATGAGCAGCCGAAGAAGAACAGCTCCACGAGGAGGCGTCGATCATCCCGACGTCAAGGGAACCAACCCCTATGGAATGAATAGGAGGAAGATGAACAACCTGAAGAATTTATGAAAAAGGAACCTACACCGCCTAAATCAAGCCCACCGGCCAAGCAAGTGTGAAAGGAGAAGGTGACATCATCAGAATCACAAGAGGTGCAACCATTAGGGTCTTCATTACCGAGATTGGATGATGCACCCGAAGAATGAATAAGACTAGAGTAAAATCCTGTCCGGAGGACTTAAAAATCCGAACCCTCGTCGTGAGGTAATATCGGTAGTTATCCATATTTATTTTCAGTATTGCATAAATTGTTTTTACTTTAGCATATGTACTTTTCTACATTAGCATTGCTCTGTTTTTAATCTTCCTTAGTAATATCCCTTATGTGCAGTATAAAGATGATCTTAGCCATGATTACTAGTGTAATTGCACTAATCAATGTATGTTTTGACTTATAATTAAAATAACTTAGAAGTTATTCCTCTAATATTCTACCTACCTGACCATGCTAATGCCATAGAAAATAGTAACCTGAGTGATTTATCATCATCATTGATCAATACTTTTCATATCTCTTATCCTATGACTTACCCCTGTTATGAGTAGAATATTGGCTATGGTTTACTTCTCCATCAATGATATAAGTTATCAATACTTGTCCATGCTAGACCTTTTCTATGGTAAAATATAAATAACAATACCTAGAATACTCTCGGGTGAAGTGCTACAATGATATAATTATCTGTGCGCTTGCATGTTTTTTTATTCATATATCTTTATATTCTTTTTAGTCATATAAAATGATAAAGAACCACTTAGTATCATTCTAGTAGTGATGCTAAACAGTACTAATAAGCATCTCTAACACCATCACTAAAGATGACAATATAGAAAAATAATATTAAAAGATATAGATAATTAATAGGTGACTACTAAAATAAATAACAAGTTAATAAATACCGGGAGCGAGCAGGGAGGCGGTGAGGCAAGCGACGAGCATGAGGCGGCGATATCTTGGACGGAGCAGCCTGCGTGGAATTGGGTTAGGAGTCAGAGATTAGGCACACAAGTACTGAACTGCTCTTAATTACAATTAATTAGTTTTCCTAATTAATACCTGTGACGATTATTTTTGACGGGAGGAATGGATGGTTCCTCCCAAGCACTATAACAAATCTCATGCAATATTATGTAGTATTTTCGTTCAATCGAGCCCACAACAACAAAAAAAAAAAAGCTGCAATTTTGACACATGGTGAATTATTTACTTTTCTATTGTTTATGTAACTGCAATTTGCATCTAGAAGTCTAGAACCTATAGATTGATTTTTTGGATGTGGGAGTGGGAATACGTAAGGTTAAAATCTGGCTCCGCCACTCGCTGGGAGTAGTATTTATGTTTATATCAATATTTATATCTATACTCTATATATACATCTATATCTAATCTATCTATATCTATATCTATACCTAATAATATAGGCAAAATTTTTGACCATTTTTTTCGTCTACCTCTTCCTAACTATCGGTAGTCGAGAGTTTCTTCCGTCTAGACTTATGTGACCCTAGATAGTTAGCCTGAATAAACTAAATAGAAATAGGAATTCTAATTCAAATAGAAAATAAATTAGATAAAATCTTATTTTTACTTTCTGTATAGCAAAACGTACGTCTCTTTCACTCTAGCTTTTTTACTTCCCATAGATATGGCTTTCCAATAACCTGTAGGAATCCTAATCCAAATAACATTTTTATTTTCCGTGTCTGCTTCAGCTTTTCTTTCTTGTCCATGTTTCTTCTTTGTCTAATTTCGTTTTCATCCTACCATATATTTCCGTGTCTGCTTCCGTTTCCACACGTTTCCTCTGTCCATCTGATTTTTCCTTTTTCCGGTCTCCCCGTTGTCGTTTTGCTTACTATCGGTTTTCTCTCCCGTGTCTAATTTATCTTTTCGAGGTGGACTCCGTTGCCATTTTGTTAATTTATCTTTTCGAGGTGGACTCCGTTTCCATTTTGTTTTTTTATGCCCCGTTTGGCAGGGCTTCTTCACCAGCTTCAGAAGTTGCTTGGAGTCGTTTTCTGCCAAACGGGGTAAAGTGAAATAGCTTCACTGTTGAAGCCCCTAAAAACATGCTCTCACAATGATTTGGGGTGGGATGGAGAAAAAAAGTGGCTTCTTCTGGCTCCTCCTCTATGCCTCTAAAAACATGCTCTCACAGGGAAGTCATTTTATCAAACAGTTTACCAAAACCACTGCAGCTCCACCGGTGGAACTGTTCGTGGAGTGAAAAAAAAAAAAAATGGCTTCACTAGTGAAGTGAAGCCCTGCCAAACGGGACCTATCTGTGTTCTGTTCCAACTCGTGATAATCATAGCCGAGGTAGGCTTGGAACGTGTGGTAACGCAAGAAGAGTTTAGTGTTATGCTCCTATTTGAATTCGGTCACGTCCCCAAACATTGATAAATAAAAATTAATTTTGTTACTGCCTAAAATCCTCTCCACAAGATGGACATTCAACCTTACACAACTGTAATGGCCTCCACCAACATCATGTTTCCCACTATGGAGATGTATATTTAACATGGGAACAATGCATAGAACACGGAGACCGCAAGCGTAAAACATGCAGACGATTTCATCTTCTTCAAAATTTAAAATTTGAATCATGGCACGTGATGGCCGATTGGACGTACAGAATCACTAAAAAAGTTTTTTTGTGTCGATGTTGTATAGAAATTAGTGGTTCGATGAATAAAAATTAATTTTGTGACCGCGTAAAACCTCTCCACGAGATGGAGATTCCACCTGAGACAACCGTGATTTCTTCTACCAACATCATGCTTTCCACTATAGGGGTGTATAATTAACACGAGAACAATGCATAGAACATGGAGACCACACGCGTAAAACATAAAGACGATCTTATTTTCTCCAAATTTTGAAATTTGAAAAATAGCATGTGATGGATGATCGGATTCATAGAATAAGTAATCAAGATGCGCAGAAATGTTTTTGGCGTCGACATTGCATAAAAATTGGTAGTTCGATGAATAAAAATTATTTTTGTTACCGTATAAAAACCGCAAAGAAACTGCTCTAACAATATATAGAATTATGAATCAACAATGTATAGAATTATATACCAACAATGTATACAAGTTATAGTTTAGCCATGTATAGAAACTTATGCACACAAGTATAGGATAACAAAATAAACAAACAAAATAATGAAGATGAATTCAATTTGTGTGGAACCCTATGCAACTAAGCATAGAAATCATCCGAACATCTTCGAAATCACAGTTTCATCGTGCATAAAAACCTATGCTCGTAAGAAAAAACCTAGATGACTAATGCTGCCTAGGCCACCATGCCATGTCCCGAAGTCGCCCAGGCCGCCAAGTAGCCAGCCGAGGAGACGCAGTCGCCATCGGCGTGGCCACCGCGACGCCATCGTCCATCGTTCGAGCATGTAGCCGGCTGTGGACGCGAACCGTCCCCGGACACATGAGCCCGTCGCCGCCTTCGGACCCGATGGCCTCACTGCTCGTCGCGTGGAGAGGAGAGCCAGGGCACGCAGCGCTGGACGGTGCGCCGCTAGTCGGAGGAGTGGGTCCGCGCCGCTGCAAGGGGACGCCGTGGCTACGGGTCGGGCCGCCGCTCCCCTACGCCCCTGCGGCCCACACAGCCGCATGCACACGGCCCGCGCGCCCCTGGCTTGCGCCGCCGCATGCTCGAGCCCCAGCCGAGGTGGGAGGGAGTCATCGGGGTGGAGGGATGGGCCGCCGCTACCTCCATGGATCTCGCCGGTGGATGGTAGGGAGCTCAGTCACCTCCTCCATGGATGTCATCGGGGTGGGGGATGGGCCACCGCTGCCTCCATGGATCTCACCGTGGTGGAGAGGGAGCCACCGCGGTTGGGGATGGGCCATCGCCACCTCCATGGATCTAGCCGTGGATGGTAGGGAGGCCACCGAAGGTGGTGCGGAGGCGCCGGGGGTGGGGAGGGCGTCCCCGTAGTTGAGGAGGGTGCTGCCGCGGTGTTGCAGGGGCGGTGGGGTCGCGTTCGAAGGGAGGTGCAGCGCCGCCGCTTGTGTCCCGCCGCCGCCATCTCGTTGTGCACCGGGTTCAGGAGAGGGGAGGCCGGCGCCTCCATGTTGTCATATCCAGGGAGCGCAGAGCCAGGGAAGGGGGCCGACGACCGTCGCTGTGGGTGGGGAGGGCGGCCGGTGGCTGGGCGGGTTACTAGGTGACGGCTGGGGCGGGTGGGGGTGGATGGCTAGGTGGTGGGCTGGCAGCTGGGTGGGGGCGTCCTGTGATTAGGGTTTGGGGGTGCCCAGTTTATATACTCTGATGGGATGGGCCGGGATGATGATGGACCGACGCGGCTATGTGGGCCGAGATGGGCCAGGGCGGGTTACTGGGGGACTAGCTGGTTTGGGGTTAACACCTCGGGTGTTACGAGCTTGCTTAGTAATTAGGTTAAGGCCTTGAAAAATCTAGCAAAATAAGTTTTCGAGTTTTAAGATTTTAAAACATAGTGAAATAAAAATCCTAACAAAAAAATAAAATAAGTAGTTTTAATGGTTTGGTACGGAAAACAATTTCTGTAAACAAAAATAGAATTTGGCTTGTGTATGGCGCTTATGTAAAGATGATGAGCAAATAGTGAAGATGATAATGCAACTTTAATTTTGGAAAGTGAATATTGTTAACTAGTGTTTTTGGGAGCTCAAAAATCGAATCCAAAATTTAAATAGAACTTTTTGTTGAATCAGCAAGAAATTGAAATTGTAGTTAAAGTGTCATTTTTGGTGAATTATATTGAGCAAAATAGTTAAATAGTGCTAAGCATTTTGCTCCTATGGGTTAGTATGAAGTATGGAATTTTGCGTGAAATAATTGTTGGTTGGAATTGATAGGGTTTAGGCCTAATAAAATTGTGACAAAAATGCTAATGGTTGTTTAGTTCTAACTGAACCCTTGTCCTTTTCTGAGTCTGAAAAGATAGTAGACAATGCTATTTTGGCATTTAAATTCTAAAATAAATGTTTAAACACTAGCTTCACGTTCTTGCACTATTGGTTGCCTCTAAGTGAGTACTTGGGCATGGTATAGGTTGTAGTGATGTTGAGTGGCACGTGTTTCATTAAAAATTTCCCAAACTTCCTTAGAACGAGTTGTGACCATGCTGTTGGCGCTCCATTCATGAACCCGCGCTCAGCGTGACGAACCCACATTGGCAGCTCTCTATCTTCCTCTCCTGTCACTCTCTAGACGTGAGGTTTGCTTAGCTAGCTAGGTGTTAGTATCGACTTTGGGTTCATAGAGTTGGTTGAGCCTTCATTGAGTTAGTAAGTAGTTTTTGGCCCGTTTTAATAAGTGTACGTGTCACCGTTTCGTCTGTTTGGCCCCGTAGGCACGGTCTCCTCACGCGTGTGCGCAGCTGGCGTCGGGCTTGACCCAGGGCTGGTTGTGTCCTTTCCCTATAGGCCAGTGCCGCCTGCCGGGACGACGCCGCAACACGCCTCTCACCTCGCCCTGCCCTCTTGCTATCCAAACCGCGCCGAGCCATTGTGCCGGGCGCAGGGCCAAGGCGAGGCTGCGGCTGCCGTCACTCGATCATCGTGGCATTTTCCCCCACCCTCCAATTCACCTCGACCACTATAGCGCTCGCCCTCCACCTCTCAACCCACCTACCACGCCCTGATCTCGACGCCGTTGCATGGCCTGCCATGTCATGATGTCGCGCTGCTACTTGCTGAAGCTGAGATCTTCTCTAGGATGCTTAAGGTACAGCTCGCTGAAGCACATGCCAATGTGGCAGCCGCAGAGAGTCGTGAAACTACCATGTCGGAAGTCCTGAAGGAGGCCGAAGATCGGTATGCCCATCAACTAGGAGAGGCCTACCTTGTCACTAGGGCCAAGTGTAGGACGCTGGCCGCTAAAAGGCAGGATCCATTGAACTTGGAGGGAATCCCTGTCCACCAGCCATAAAGACAGAGAACCGGTGTTGCAGTACCGCCACCACCCCCACCTTCAGAGGTGTCAGAAGGAGAACCCTTGCTTCCCCTCACTCGGCCACTGCCAAGAGAGGAGGTAGATCCATAGTGGGGTAGTAGAAGAACCCACTGAGCCCAGGGATGAAGCTGCGTGGTCCGGCGAAGTAGATTAGTTATCCTAAGGGAGATGTACCCATATTTAGTAGTCCCTTTTGTCGCTATCCTCCAGTGTGTAATCCTCTCATTGTATTCCATCTGTAGTTGTTAGGATCGTCTGGTTGTAGGAGGCAAGTGATGTGTAGAGAGTGGGAGTGCCTGAATGTTGTACCAGTATAAAGGCGTTTGGAACATGCATTTTGCTTTATCCGTTGTGTTTGTTGTGTCGATTTACCCTAGACCTCATTAGACTTGCTTACGGTTCGTGAGGCAAAAATCAAGCAGGTTACAAGAAAAGCAACCATTCAGATGCCAGCAGACCAGCCATGATTGGATAACAAAGGACGTTGTATCAACTAATTGTGGATGCCCCAATAGAACACTTTAGTCTCCTTAAAATTAAATCCGTCATGGGATTTGATTTCCTTGTTCTTTGTTGTGAAAGGAACCCTTGTTGCCTAAATCTTCCCTTGCAATACTCCTCTGATTCTGTGGTCTATGACCCCACCGCCTTCATTGGGTGTAAGTGATAATAGTTGCCTGGTTAATAGCTTATGGTGCCACGACGAAACCGAGGGCCCCTGTGGAATAGCTGCCACATGGTGACGCTGCTCGGCACGTGCTGGTATCGAGATTGTTGACCAAGCGCCTTAACCAAGTTACACCGTCGTACCGCTCTTGCAACAAAATATTCTCCTTGGGAAAAATATCTTTGTGTTCTAACGGGAAATCCACAACGGGTTGATGGAGCAATGCTCTTTCAAGGTAACTGAGTTAATGTGGTTTTGGAGGAAGTACGCATGTCATGATCTCAGTCCATACAAAAGACTGGCGCATTTTGTAGTCAAGGAAGGGAAGGAAAAGAAGAGCAACAAAGAGAAGTTAGCCGTGGATAGTTGGGAGTGATTGGAAAAGCCTACGTGGATGTCATGTCCCAAGCCCTGTGTCTAGCTCGCCCACGCTACGCACGTCGGGTCACTATTGCCACATGCCCTACGGATGTCGTCAGCGCCAGGGCCCATTAGCACCCCCGTTTTCGTTTGGCCGTGGCATTGTGCCGCGCTCGCTTTGTCCATTTTGCGTAGTGTGCTTTATCTCCTTTTCCCATACCCTGTCTGCTCTCGATCCCCGCCCTCACTCCCGTACCAGACCCCCTTCCCCTCTCCTTTTTCTTCTTTTGGGAACACGACCGTTTGCACGCCTCCCCGTCGAGCGAATCCCCTCCCCTCCTCCTTTTCCTCCCTCCGCTCGAGCTCGCGTAGGGAGCGCACCATGGCCGATTTTTTCCCACCCGTGAACCATCAGTGTCTCCCATCCATGCCGCCTCCACTTCCGGTGCACTGCACCCCACCTCCGTTCGCCACTATAAGATGCCCTTGCTCTCCTCCTTCATCCCCATCCCCCTCAAATCCAAAGTAGAGCTATGAGATCCAGTTGTCGTTCATAGAACTAGGGTCACCAGTCAGAGGTGATTGTGTAATCTGAGAAGAAGAAGAGATCTGGTTTTCACCGAAGAAGTTCAAGTCCACCTCTGGTTAGTTCTGGTTTTAGGGTTCACGATGATCAAGTTCTCACACTCTTGTTTCTGGATTTGTTGGACATATGCCATGTTTTGGGTGATCATTTTCTTATTGTTTCTCCATTGTCCCTGTCTAGCCCGACTTCTGGAATAAGTTTTTTTGTTGTACTGGGTTTATTCTTAAACAGTGTATCTTCAAATCCCTGAGTGGTTTAGTATCCGAAGTCGTGCAATCTCCCGTGTAATTTCAGATGTACGAAATGTAATTGCACTTCCCTTCCTGATTCTTGCTCCGATTCTCAGGACGGTTGTAACACCTTGGGTGTTACGAGCTTGATTAGCACCTAGGTTAAGGCCTTGGAGAATCTAGCAAAATAAGTTTTTGAGTTTTAAGATTTTAAAACACACGTGAAATGAAAATCCTAACAAAAAGAATAAAATAAGTAGTTTTAATGGTTTGGTAGGGAAACAATTTATGTAAACAAAAATAAAATTTGGCTTGTGTATGGCGCTTATGTAAAGATGATGAGCAAATAGTGAAGATAAGAATGCAACTTTAATTTTGAAAAGTGAATATTGTTAACTAGTGTTTTTGGGAGCTCAAAAATTGAATCCAAAATTTAAATAGAACTTTTCTTTGAATCAACAAGAAGTTGAAATTGTATTTAAAGTGTCATTTTTAGCGAATTATATTGAGTAAAATAGTTAAATAGTGCCTAAGCATTTTGCTCCTATAGGTTAGTATGAAGTATGGACTTTTGTGTGAAATACTTGTTGGTTGGAATTGATAAGGTTTAGGCCTCTTAAAAATTGTGACAAAAGTGCTAATGGTTGTTTAGTTCTAACTGAACCCTTGCCTTTTTCTGAGTCTGAAAAGGATAGGAATGCTATTTTGGCATTTAAATTCTAAACTAAAATGTTTAAACACTAGCTTCACGTTCTTACACTATTGGTTGCCTCTAAGTGAGTACTTGGGCATGGTATAGGTTGTAATGGTGTTGTGTGGCACGTGTTTCCTTAAAAATTTCCCAAAGTTCCTTAGAACATGTTGTGACCATGCTGTTGGCGCTCCGTTCTTGAACCAGCGCTCAGCGTGATGAACCCACATTGGCACCTCTCTATCTCCCTCTCTAGTCGCTCTCTAGACGTGAGGTTTGCTTAGCCAGCTAGGTGTTAGTATCGACTTTGGGTTCATGGAGTTGGTTGAGCCTTCATCGAGTTAGTAAGTAGTTTTTGGCCCTCTTTAATAAGCGTGTGTGTCACCGTTTCGTCCATTTGGCCCCGTAGGCACGGTCGCCTCGCGCGCGTGCGCAGCTGGCGTCGGGCTCAGCCTTTCCCTATAG